AGAATATGACCTGAGCCTAAATCAGGAGTTGGATGCTCAACCACATGAGCCACCCAGATTCCCTGAGGCCACCAACTTCTTAAAGAATGCCTTGTTGCCACATTAACTGGGACTGGGACCCCATAGAGCTCTAGGTATCAATGAATCACACCAATATTTTACAAGCTAGCCTTTTGGTTTTGCTCAGGGGACTCATTAACCATTTTAAGATAAATTTCTACACCATACAATTTAGAACATATGCCTTTGTGATGTTTGATATGGGATTCATGTTTAAAGTCCTTGTTTTTTGGGTGTTCTTTTCTTCCCTCTGCTGATTGAAGCATCACACGGATGATTCTTCTGGACTTTGGTTTCAGTCTCTATAACTATCTATATTTCTGGGATGTCTTTGAAAATCTCCAAAACAGAATTTTACATATAACATATTTTCTGTCATTTAAACCAATTCCATCCCAGACACATCCTCTAAATGTAGAAAACAAATCCATGCAGAATTATGCGTGTGTGTGTGTGTGTGTGTGTGTGTGTGAGAGAGAGAGAGAGAGAGAGAGAGAGATTATAACAAAGAGATAGAAACTTCTAGAGATAACTTGAATTCGTGTTGGCCTATATAGCTTGCATGATCCATTAATGTACCAATTTGATCCTTTTGACTAGTCGCTACCGCTTTCAGCACTCTTTTCCCCAAATTGGATTAGATGATCATTCTCTGGACTCCTTTATTTACATTTATAAGGGGACATTGGACAAGAAACTGTACCTCTTTGAATCTTAGTCTTAACATCAGTCAAATGGTGATTGCTTGAGAGTGGGGGGAATCGTGCCATTACTCACAGACATCCAGGAACTGACTTCAGTGCCGGCTGCCTCAAGGTCTGGAGAACCTAGCCATCTTCTTACAAGAAAGAACAGTGAGTGTGAGTATGTTCAGCTTGAGTGTAAGGAAAGCCCTGGATATGCGTGGATGGTGCCCCAGAAAGAACTTTAACTTTCCTGATGTGCAAGACCCTATCTGCAAGACAGGGTCACCAGCAGCTACACACTTAACCAGGAAGTCTTCTGCTTTGACAGGTACTTATGTCTCTTTGCCTCTCTGTGCCTTTCAGTAAGTTTTTGTGCCTCTGCCTCAAGGAAGTGGGGCTTGATCCAGTCTACAGTGTGCGTGTTCCGCGGGTATGGGTTCAGTAATCTCCACATGACCCCACCGGAACACTGCCCTGATACCTACTGTGTGTAAATTGCTCTTTGTCCTCACAGTCTCTTTTTAAAAATAAAGCCTAAGTAAGCACCCTGACTATTCTTCTTAATATCAGCCAGCCCTTGTATAGCTCCTGATGTATAATGAGGCCTCAAATATTTATCTGTGTGGAAAAACATAATGCAATTGTATAAGATTTTATGCTTTAAAGTACAAAACATTTCTTATTTGGGCTTTGCAGCCAATGACTTTTAAACTATGATTCCAAGGAATACTGCTTTTCTCTTGAGCTGAACTGAGGGCTTTTGCCGCTAAAACCTGAGAGTCGGAGTCCTTTCTTAGTTAACTAAAAATATCAATGAATAATGGGTTATTTTTTTTTCCATTTCTGAACTTCTTTCCCACAACATCATTTTTTTTTTTCCTTAAAAGCTTTGATTTCTATAAGAAGTCTATACCTGGTTCAGCACAGAATTCTGTTTTATTATTTTAATTTATATATTATTCCATGAAAACTGACTTTGGGGGGGTTTAGCTTTTTGAGAAGATAGCACTGTTCATAATAATAGCAAGTGCTATTATCTCCTTTTTATTGGGAGGAAGAGGATTTTCTGTGTGAAATTACAGACTGGACAGTATCATGTCCCATGCATGTCTTCTTTTATTTCAGCCTTCCATCAGTTCTGTGACCTGTTTTTTCACCAGGTTATAAATGATGAGACTGTGTCACCATGCAGCTGAATGTCACAGAGCTAGGAAAGGTGAAGCCCAGTCTTTCTGTCTTCAAAACCCACAGTCCTCTCCTCTGCATGGACACATGGTAGTTCTAAGAGTCTGATCTTCACTGTTAGGTTCTAAGTTCCTTTGGTGCAGAGGTTATGATTTATTTAGTTTTTCCCTCGCCCAAAAAATTCTATAAATTGGATATGATTGTCTCCTTTTCATTCTGGTAGCCATGCCTGCTAGGTGGGACTTCTACTTTATTACATATATCCAAGGATCTTCCCACATCCTTTCCAGGACTTGAAATTACTCGTCTTTTCTATACTAGGATGCGTCTGTCTTTGTCTTTAAGTTGTGACTCAATCTGTTCTTGAAAGTCATCTTCAAACGAGGCTTGGCAATTCAAAAGAAAAAAATACTAAATGAATTTTAAATTGCCAAGGGAAGGGTTGTTTAAATCTCTCTGAGATAACAGTTCATAAATATGCTCATTATTAAGTCCCTTATAAAAGGAATTAATACTTTATTGATATACAATAAATATACAGTATTTATACTTGATATTAACACATTAAGGCAGCCAAAGAAAAATTAGAAGTTGACTCACCAGAAGGCACTCAAGTGTCTGATCCTGAAAAAGTCAAGAAGAACAAAACTTATTCCTGATAAGTTGAAAGTATGTTTTAGAGCTAGCCATGTTAGTTAGTTCTTGTTTTTGTTTTTTTTGGTTAATGTCCCAAATAGTGGGTACACTGACACAACACTGAACTGTCTTGTTCTGGGAGAGACACTGTAATACTATGGCCTATTGATTGAATGTACAACTCAAATTCATATTGTTATAGAATTTAATGCCTTAAATAATTTAGCATTTTCTTATTAAAGTAGCAGGCATTGATGGAAAGCAAAGAGTCATAGCCATGTCTTTATAGCTGCATGACAATTATCTAGTATGGCTTTAAGAAAAATATATTTATTACCCAAGAAAAATAATAGGTTTTGTCTGTCTGTCTCTGTCTCTCTGCCTCTCTGTCTCTCTCTCTGTCTCTCTCTCTCTCTCTCTCACACACACACACACACATTCTGTACATATTCATATATATGTATCTGATTCAGCTAGGAAAACAGTGCAGCTGTCAATCACTAAAATTTCCATTTCTGTGTCTATAAATCAACTTACTTTTGGACCTTGGTGTCCCATGCTGTTTTTACTTGCTTTTGATTTGTTTTTAATCTGGTGTGAGATTATTGACATGCAATGTCCTGGTGTGAGTTAAATGTTTAGAAACAAACTGGAATTTCATGGAATTTTCCCGATTCTCTTCTTAATTTTAAGGGTAATGGGTTGCTTCTAAAGATACCATATTTAGACTGATTTGTTCACTTTATGTTAATGGTAATTCAGATCACCTGAATCAGGGAAAATAAATAGTGGTACAGGACTGAGACTCTATTGTCTTGAGATTTTATGATACTTTCTCTTCCACTTATTTTCCTTTAATATTTCATTCGAGCACAGTCTCCAGCCACACAACTATTGCTATGTCACTTGCCTAAAAAATTTGTAGATAGATATGGAGCAATTAAGGAATAATACAGTGAAATGTTTATTAATAAGAAATAATGGAACATAAAGTTTGACTTTATAAACCTTTTGGATAGTGGCTCATTCTAAATACTTTGTTAATTTCTTATTATAAAAGAAGTTAATTTTTTAAAAAACCAGCAAGGATGGGGTGCCTGGGTGGCTCAGTCAGTTGAGTGTTGGACTTTGGCTCAGGTCATGATCTCACCTCTCGTGAGTTCGAGAACCACACTGGGCTCTGCGCTGACAGCTCAGAGCCTGTAACCTGCTTCAGATTCTGTGTGTGTCTCTGTCTCCCCTGCTTGTATTCTCTCTCTTTCTCTCAAAATAAATAAACATTAAAAAAATCTTTTAATTAAAAGAATAAAAGCAGCAAGGATAAAAGGAGCCTGAACAAAGATGGAGGGTATTAGCATCTATATTTTGTACACAGAATAAAATTGTTGGAGCACATAAAAAAAAAATCAGAGTTGTAAATAACTTCAAAACGGATTCACTTTTTATAACCGCACCATCTAAAATGGAATATGAAAAATGTTATTTTAAACAGCCGTAGCTCAAGAGAGTTGGGGAATATTTTTCAGAATATTGATAAATGGAGAATTGCATTTCTACCGCTTTCCACTTTTTCCCCCAAAGCATGCAAATAAAAGTTAATTTTTATATGAGAGCAATTTTTAGACCACAAAAGATATTTTTTTGAGAATTTCATCCATAGTGGCCAATTTTGTATGAAACAAATTATTTTAGGCCTAATTGCAGGCAGACTAGTTAGGCAGCTAGCTCTGTTAAGGTTGAATTTCACTTTGAACTTTCTAATAGTATGATCTTTTCACAGAGTTTAATAACTGGCTCAAATATTTAATAGTGGAAGCCTTCATTAAATTAAAAAGAAATCAAGATATACTTTTAGAAGGACTAACTTATTTTCCTTATCATTTCTATCTACTTTAGGAGAAAAGGAAGAGAATGGAACCAATCTGTTTGTATACTTAAACAGACATTAATGCCACAACCCCAGCAAATAATTTATTTCAGTGTATGTCATCATTCAAAAGATTTGGGAAGCACCAAATGGCAGCAATAACTATACTTCTAGCTCTACTGAATAGCAAATTGCACTGACTATGTGAATCTCTTCACTTGTCTGCTAGATAATCATTCTTTTTAATACTCAGATACATTCTCTAGATCAGTTTCAGATTGCACACAGTCAACCTCTGCATTGCCTAATAGTTTTTAGTTAAGTACAATGACGTGTTTTGAAATACCAAGTGGGAAAAGATGAGAGTTGAAAGATTTTGTTTCCATGTGTCAGTCTGTAAATAGATGACAAAAGATCATTAAATGGATTAATTTACAAGCATCCTTAGAAATAGAATGTTTTACATAAAAGCATGTTGTAAACCTTTTTAATTAAATTGCATTGTACCATGCACTCTCTTCTCCCCAGGGTTCTGTTGACCTCTCACCTCTTATTTTGTCCAACAGGCACTCCACTGCTGGTGAGGAGAAGCAGTGACCCAGTGCCAGGCCCACCCGCTGATGCCCAGCCAAGTGCTTCACAATCCGGTGGCCAGAGTCTGAAACCTGTTACTCTAGTAGGTATCCTGGAGTTTGCATTTCTGATGAAAGATCAAAGTGCCTTAGCCATAGACTAACTGGGGCTTTGCAGAGTTAAGAAGTTGATCATTAGAGATCTTTCAATGATATAGATATGGATATAGATGATATAGATATAGATATATAGATATAATGTTAGTTATAGTAATAGCTAGTATGAGCTACTATTAGTATATAAATTGTAGTGTTGGCTGTTATTTACAAAGCAGCAATTATGTGCCGAGGACTCTTTTAAGTGCTTTACCCCAAGTCACTTAAACTTCCACATCATGGTAAGCACAATTTTTTTACTCTATCTTACTGATAATGAAATTAAGTCAGAGGGAGGTTTAATAATCTAAGATCACAATGTGTAAATGGAAGAGCCAAGAATTTAACCCATGTGATTTGGCTCCAAAGGTTGTACTCTTAACCAGCGCCCTACTCCTTTGAGTTTCCTTGATCCTCCAGCTTTGTAATGCCCAAGGATATAATTTATATCCTTTATATTTTCAGTGTTAACGCAGTGCTTTGTGAAGTCATGCCACAGTGACTGTGACTGGTCATACAGTTTCAGGATAGCAATATCATGTATATGCAGTGCCAGTACTGGGTTTCTAGAACTACTAGATTAAAGAAAAACAAAATTATATACCAGACTTGCTTATAACAAGACATACTTACAACTGATCAATTAAATGGAGAATTGTTTCCTGAAGAGACAAGGTCCTCCTTTTATATGGTACTGATGGATCTTTCTGATGAATCCTGAGTCACTTTAAAGAGTTGTAACTGTGGTCCATTCTTTGAAATAGCCTGGGGGTTAGATTTTGATTAATGGCTATCTATCAGTGCAATAGGCAATAACGTAGTTATATTAAAGTATCCTAAAAGCAAGGTTCTTCTCCATTTTAAGTCTCACTCTGTATAGTGCCTTAAGAAAAAAAAAAAAAGAAAAGCAATATTTTCAAGGTACAGAAAGATGCTGAATAAGCTAACCAGCTTCTCTAGGTCTGGTATAAAATGCTTTTATCAAGAACCAGTGCCAGTGTATATGAAGTATGAATCGCTATACTAAGCCATCAAGTATTTACTAATTAAGTTTATGGCAGTATTTTGGCATATTTGTTTTGTAAACAAGGAAGCAAGTGTTCTGAAAATATTTTAGATGTAATATTTCCTCACCAAATTTTTAAAGAAATGTATTTAAAGGAAGATGACTTTAATAAAAATCAGGTATATGTGTTTTATTTAATGGTGAGTATAAACGGAACCAGTATGTGGTGTGTGTATGTGTTTAACACACTGATTGAGACCGTGTGAAGCCCAAGCATATTGGATTGGAAGAAGGGAAGCTATATAAATGAGAAAAGTTACACTTTACTGCTGATTTTCACAATGTCGGTATACCCCCAAATTAGAGTATATTTGATAGTAATACCATCATTTGCATGAAGAAAATCACCAGTATCTTGTTCATCGTTTTTATCACGTAGGCTCTGTGTTTAGTCCAAGTGAAGATATTTAATACTGCTTTCCTACAGGAAATGAAGACTGCTATGTTTCTGATAGATTCCATATTCTTAATAAACTATGATACCATTGAGTTCTAAGTTGAGGTATTTGGTGAGGGAGTATATTATTACTAGCAAAGATGCAAATCCTAATTGAAGAAGAAACACTGGCACCCCAGATCCTTTTCCCTAACTGTAGCGAGTTACTGAATGTTGGCTGAGTCTGTATCAACAGTAAAAAGGAAAACACATCTCTTACTTTCCTCAGTGTTCTCTGTGACTGATGAAGTACAAACCTGAGACCCAAAGAATAGCATCTGGTCCTGGGCTTGCCACAGATTACTGCTGCATCGTGGCCTTTTCTTTCTTCAATTGTAAAATAATGTTCAACAAAACATTAAGCCCTAACAGTCCAAGGTACAGACATTGTGCCTTATTTATCTTTCTATTTCTAGCATCAAGTACATGGAGTGTACTCAGTGTACATGTGTGTTGGGAATGCAAGAAACATATTAGTCTGGGAAGAGTTCTAGAATTTCTCAGCAAATTACCCCTTTTCTAATCTGAGCATTCTCTCTGTTCCCCAAAAGAGGTCTACCAGGTAATGGTTTGTCTGCTCCAAAGTCTGTTCACCCCAGGCAAGAAACAGTGTAACTGCCTTACTGTGCAGAGCAGGCAAAGTTAGTAAAGGAAGACATTTAGGTGTGTCTGTTTCTACCTAGAAGAAAAATGCATGTGTGTGCATGTATTACAATTCTATTGATTTATTTCTGAATATCCTAATTCATGGGCTGTTTAGACCTGCATTGTCCAATATTATAGCTACTGGCCATGTGTGGTTATTGAGCACTAGAAATGTAATTTGAGTGCAACATGCATAATGAATTTTAAAGATTGGAATATAAAAAGTAGTGGGGCACCTGGATGGCTCAGTCAGTTGAGTGTCTGACTCTTGATTTCAGGTCAGGTAATGATCTCATGGTTTGTGAGATCAAGCCCCGTGTTGGGCTCTACACTGACAACATGGAACTCTTTCCTTCTCTACTTACCCCTCCCCTGCTTGTGTTCTCTCTCTCTCAATCTCTCTCTCTCAAAATAAACTTAAAAAGAAATATAAAAATAGTAATATAAAAGATCTTGTCAGTAATGTTCATACTAACTATACATTGGAACAATAGTAGAGTATATCAGTTTGAGTAAAATACATTATCAAAATTACTTTCACCTTTTTCATTTTAAAGCATGGCTACTAGAAAGTTTAAAATTAGATCACTGGTTCACATTCTGTTTCCATTGGACAGAGCAGCTCCAGACAGAAGTAAAATTGGATATAGCATTAATGAAATGGTTTGAGCCCCTTGGGAGAAGTTCTTTGAGTTGCACATCATCTCTGGGGTAACAGTATGATTAGGTTTGCCTGAAGCAGTCTTAGTTCATGCCTCTTGTTCTGGCATAATTATTAATAGTGTCCCCACTAACTCTCAGAGGTGTCCATGTATGGATGATAAATTGTGTGGCACCCTACATGTAGCCCCATAGTCACTTTTATTGTTTGCTCAGTGATAAGAGGAGAGCCTTTCGAGGAAACCAGGGGAACACAACCACAACTCTTAAATTGGAACACACTGCAGAGAGTGGTGTTTCTACCAAGTGCCTGAGCCCAGGGAGTGAAGAACTAGAGACTGAAGATTTCTTTCCTATCTCTCAGATCCCATAGTTCTACAACTTCAGCTGCGCCATACTTGTTACCTAAGATTTAATAAGTGACGATGAAAATGGGGAGCATGTGATAATATAGCCATGGTGCAACGAACATGAAAAATAATTGCTTAAAAAGCTCTGTGCGATTGCATTTCATTTCAATATCCAAAGGAAAAAAATAATCAAAATTTCCATCTCTTAAACAGTGTTCACATGTAAGTAATTCACAGATGGCAGAGCCCCAAGTGGGTTATGTTCAATCATTCCCAAGAAATGAAACTTACTTATAACCCACAGCTTAAAAAGCTGTAAGGATGAATATTTGACACATTTGATTATGTTGAAATATTGCCTTTAAAACCACAGTATGACTGTTATTTTTACTTGCACTTCATTAGGCTTACTGTAACGAGAACTTTCTTTGATGCCGAAAGATACATGTTTGTGAAAAGTTGAAAAAGTTGCCTTTATTTTATGGCTGGTTAAATTATTACAAATTGGTTATTTAAGATGTACACCCTCAGAGAAGGTGACATGTTAAAAAAAAAAAAAAAGCTTTCAAATTAGAAAAATCAGATCCTCTGCAAGCCTTAGATTTTGTGTCGTGAAAAGCCACCGAATCTCACTATTGGTTATTTAGGGAACCACTGGCTAAACAGCATGAAAACTTGTTCTCTTTCTTTCTCTTTTCATAAACCCATCAGTTAATCAGAATAGAATAATTATTAATGTGCACATTGTAATGACTATTTATCTTTCAAGGCAATAGAAAATCCAATTCTACTGACTGCTTTTGAATTAAAGAAAGAGAATCCTGGGGGCAAGACATAATAGCGGGAGTCTGCTTATGGGATATCTTACCTCCCTTGCCTTGATTGTAACCTGGTGTTCTTGGCTTAAGGGCATGCCATAAAACCTGGTTCTTGAAATTGATGTTCCTGAATTTGTGGCTGGAAGAGAACTCTAAAACAGATGTGATTTTTTCCTTAATATCCGGTTAACTACTATGGTTGTTTTGTGTTTTAATGACTGTTTATAGTTTCACATTTAACCCCTAAAGCAAAATGATCCTGCAGGGCGAGTAAATTAAAAAGTGGATTCCTGAAAATTATAATGCTGTGGTTGTTCTCGGATAAAAAATGACTGTGTTTGTTCTAAAACTGTTACTTGTCTTGCATCACCAAAATAAATTAAGAAAATATTGGTCTGTCTTTTAAAAGTTCATATCCATAATATATATATTTTATTTTTAAAAAATAACATGACAACATTGAGGTTATTTAATTGGGAGTCTGTGATGAGCTTCAGAGGGCCTGTTAACTCTGAAGTTGTATTCTTTGGCCCTTTGCACATGCATGTATGTTTTGTGAAAGAGACTCTATCACATTTTTTTTTTTTTTGGGACTCTATCACTCTTATCAAATTTTAAAAGGAAAAAAATAATCAAGAACTACTTGTTTGCAGGTTTAGGATGAAATAATTTAGGAAAGCCATCAATTCTCAGAATATGATCAATGATAGAGATTAAGAAATGGAGCAGGAATTACTATCTACCAATATTAAATAATTAAAGCTATTTCATCTTATTATCTCTTTCCTATCTGACAGATAGGATGTAAATTCAAGATGTTGAGATGAATGTAAGTTTTTGAATTGCTGCAGTGAGAAGTCAGCAGTAACTCTTCAGTGAGTAGCAACACAATTCTAACCAAGAGTAAGATTGGAAGTAAAGGGAAGACACCATGGGGAGAAGTGTTTCCAGTGGCCCTGTGTATACAGAGACA